TTTGGGGAAAGCAGCCACCATGCCATGAAGAGACTCAGGCAGCTCTGTGATGAAGTGCACACGAAGAGGACCAGAGGCTCCCAGCAACAAACTGCCCAAGTGCCAGCTGTGATTTCCCGCTCTAGGTGACTGCAGCCCCAGCTGCCATGACTCTGAGAGGCAGAGAGAAGTCCTCCATCTGCTGCTTCATTCCATCCAAAACCTGGTGCAGGAGCCTCTTCCCAGTGTCCCATGCGGATCCATGGTCCCAAGGCTCTGGACCTTCCTCCACTGCCTTCCCAGATCACAAGCAGGGAGTTGGATGGGAAGTGGAGCAGCCGGGATACAAATTGGCACACATATGGCCGCTCGTGCTGCAGGTGGAGGATTAGCATGCTGTACCACCAGCTGGTCCCGGTGACTGCATTTTCATTGAATGTTCTGGACCACAGAGGCCCAGACAAGACAGTCTACTTAATCTGCCCACCTAACTGAATTTTAAAGTAGGCTCCAGGCTTGTGAAGACTAGCAAATCTGAAATTCATAAAGTAGGCCAGTAGGTTGGAAACATAGCTAAAAGGTGAATTCAAAGTCAGCAGCATGGGCCAGCAGGCTAGAAACTCAAACGGAATTAACACATTACAGTACTGAGGCAGACAACTTTCTTTGGAAAACCCCAGCTTTTCACCTAAATTCTCCAACTGGTTGGCTGAAGTCAACATGCAGATCACAAAAATCAGAGAAGCATTGAGCCAAGAGTTAATCATCAACATCAACCATGAGTCATAATAATAAAATTCTATCTAATGTCATATAGAAACATGTCTTAAGAATGTACTTTGCCATAGGTGTTCACTCATTTTATTAAAACAATAATTGTAATGTTAAATTAGGGAACTAAAGGAGAAATCAACAGTTAAAATGGTTTCCATGTGGCCTGTGTTATTATACAAGTTAAGCCACAGCCTGTGATGGTGGCACCCACATGAGTGCCTGGCTCAAGCCCAGCTATTCTACTTCGGATCCAGCTGTTTGCTAATGTGCCTGGGAAAGCGTTGGAAAGCGGCCCACTGGTTGCAAGTACGTGGGCTCCCACCACCCATTTCAGAAAGCCACATGGAGTTCAGGTCCCCTGGCTTTGGCCTGGCCCAGCCCTGGCTGTTCTAGCCATTTGGGGAATGAAACAGCAGACAGATCTCTCTCTCCCTCTCTTTCTGTAACTCAAATAAAAATAAATCCTTAAAAAAAAAAAAAACAAAAATGAACAAACACGAAATGCTTCTCAATACTGATCCAGCTTTAAAATATACAACAGCATTCATAGAGTTTCCAAGCAATTCTCTATATGTCTTGAATAAAATTGAAACTCAAAACATTGTATCAGAGGACGCTTCTTCCCCTGAGTTACATGTAGATACTCATGTTTCATAATTGATAAGATGGTCAAAATATAGAAAATAATCCCTCTCTCCCTAAACTTCCTAAATATGACTTAGTGAAAGGCAAAGGTACAAACTGCTAGGCTGAGCAGATAAAGGGCTGACTTTTATCCATGTCTGGGATTTTATAAACTACTGGAGACATTTACAAACTCTCACAGAAATGAAGTCCAGTCAACTATTAAATAGAATCTTTTCCCTAAATTGTAATTTACATGCAAAATGTAATTTATGGTAAAAAAGTTTGTATCCAGGTAATTTTCTTGGGCTTTCCTTCAATGAATTACTGGTAGCACTGGCTGGATCAAATAATAGAGCATATTCACATGGTGAAAACCTCAGAACCTTTCTTCTTTTATCTGACCCAATCATGACATATTTTAGCATAATTAAATGAGATCTTTGTTGTGGAAAGTGATCCCGGAAAAGCAGGGTTGGGAAATACAGCTGATGGCCAAATCTGGTGTGATTTTTTTTTTTTTTTGGTAAAGATTTGTATGAAAGACTGAAATGCAAGGAGGATGAGAGGGAGAGAGAGGTCTTTCATCCGCTGGTTCATGCTCCGAACAGCTGCAATGGCCAGGGCTTAGCCAGCCCCAAGCCAGGAGCCTGGAACTCCATCCACGTGTCCCAAATGGTGGCAGGAGCCCAAACACTTGAATCATTTTCTGTTGCTTTCTCAGGTCACTAGTAGGGAGCTGGATATTAAGCAGAGCAGCAGGGACCCAGAGTGGTCATATGGGATGACAGTATTGAAGGCAGTGCCTTCAATTTTCAAAAAATCAGGGTTACAGAAAAAGAGGGAACAAAGGGAGAGGGAAATCTTTAGTTGTCTGTTTTACTCGCCAGAATGGCTTCACTGACCACGTCGGAGTCAGGCTGAAGGAGAGCTTCTTTTGCATTTCCTGTAGGGTGCATGGAGCCAGGCATTTGGGCCATCTTGTGTTGCTTTCTCAGGGGGATCAGAAGTGGAGTAGCTGGTACACAAACTGACACCCATGTGGGGTACGGGCATTGCAGCCAGTAGCTTTACCTGCTGTGCCATCACACCAGCCCCCAAACTGGGCTTTTACCCCACAGAAAGACTAAACATAGATGTGAGATACAAATACTTCCATTAATTCACAATTCAGTATTCACTCTGTGTGTTTAAGGTCTTGAAACCAAACTGTTTGAAAAGTTTTATTTTATAGTAGAAAATATATACAATTGGATGCTTACAAAAGATGATGTGTAAAATTTGGGATGATAACATTCAACTTAAAACTCATAAACAACTTAATGTCTTTTTACCTGAAAACAGTAGGAGCTATGTTAACCCCATGACTAATTTTTGAAACTCCTAACAGACAATACTGAACCTTACACAGAATAATTCTGTGTAAAAGAAGACAAATTAGATTACTTCATAGTAACCTGTATTTAGAAAGACTAAAGCTAATTATCTCAGTAACCTGGCAACCTAATTTACCAAATCAAATTTACCATTATCAAGTCCATGCTGTCTACTGTCTTCCCTTGTACCATGGCTTTTTATCTTATTGGCCAGGCCATGAAATTATGTAGTGATTTCCATAATGCTACAGAAGTCACTGATGATCACTCTTATGCCAGGATGCATGGTTCTTTCTTGCTCCTGTACCCGTGTGCACAATTTCTCTTACAAACTGTACTGTTTATCTGACCACGGGGGCCTCTGAGGTGTGTTAGAACAATCCAGAGGTAAGAACAGGCCTTGCTTCTGTAACACTGAAAACTCCGGAATCATTCAACACACTGTCATCTATACCTCTGGTGGGCCCAGATGCAGACACAGCAGCAGTGTCTGTGAACATGTCAGGAGCATCGTCAGTTCTGACAGCGTGCAGCTCACACACATTGAAGCACTAAGCATTTTAACGGAATTTAGAAATGGTACTTTTCTTAAAGGGAGAAAGCAGACAAACACTGGCCTTGGCATTCAATTTCTAGCATAAATGTGACTAGCAAGATTGTGAGCCTCATACACTGAATATAAAAGTACAGAAGAAATTCTGATCGTAATGTACGGGTATAGCAGTGTTTGTAAATAGATTTATATGCTTTCTAAGATTCAATATCAAGCTCTTTGTTTACATACAAGAACACATTCATAGTTTCTTTATGGAACTCTGTAAAATGCTCACAGTAGTTTATGTGGTACTGATTAAAACTAGGGAGATTTCAAATATCCCTTATAGCTTATTGGTGAAATGTTCTGGGGGGTTCCACAGCTTATAGTCTCCCAACCTGAACTGAGCTTTTCAAAGCACAGCAGTGTGTACTTTGGCATTTTAAACCTTCATCAAGCTTTAGTTTGTTATCATCAGAGAAAAAAAATAAGTTGAGGACAGAGGCTGATGTGTAGCGCGTTAAGGCAGCCACCTGTGACACCAGTATCCCACATGTAGCTCTTGGCTCTTGGTTTCAACCTGGTCCCAGTACTGGACACAGTAGTGGTCATCTGAAGAGTGAACCAGTGAATTGAAGATATCTGACTGCCAAATAAAATCAGTAAATCTTTAAACAAAAAAGTTGACACTGTTAGGTGCGTAAGCGAAAAAGAATTTGGAACGGTAACATAATAGTTGTCTGGTTCACATGGTCAATGAGCTTTCAACTCATTGCCAAAATCTAGTTGCTTAAAGAGTTAGGAGGTGAGCTAAAGGCTTTGATTCAGTTCTGTTTTTAGAAGGACATCATTTCAAAACCTAAAAGTAAATTTTCTAATGTGTTACACTCCCTGTTATACCATGTTACAAACTTATTCTGTATTAGCCTTTATTACCAGGTTGTTATCTTTGTATAGACTTTAGAACACAACTTTAGCTATTTCTAAATAGTCTCCTGAGATGTCTTTGAAAGCTATTATTGTTTGCATTTGTATTTGTGTGAACCAAAATTTGCTGAGTGAATACAAATAAGGTACAAATTGGCTGCTGAGATTTTATAAACTCCCCATGGCTCTTTTGTGTTATTCAGAAATTCAGAAATCTTATTGTTCTTAGCAATGGACTAAAATAAACAAACATACATGGGTACCCAATACATTTATAAATATACTGGTAAAAGGGACTTTTTAGGTTATATGTATTTGGATAACAAAAATTTTTAAAAAGCTATTGATAAAAAATGTCTGGAAAATGCTGTTTAATAAGAAAGTATCTATTGTTAAAAGAATGTTTAATGGGACTTAGTTTTCCAAGGCAAACAACCTTTCAAACTCATTTCAACTCTCAAATTATTCAGCATACCAGGAAAATGTCTACAGATCAGAGTGCCATAGGTCTTCAAATCGGGTGAGTTAACTTGTAAAAAAGCGAGGAGAAATTACAATATACACAGTCATAGTTGTTTTGGGCCCTAATAATAGGATAGCTTTAAAGAAAAGTTTCCATTTTTATTGAATTATACACTTTTGTGTTGTAAGCATCAAAGTATGTTCATCCTCCAGATAACACATTAGTATCATTACATATGAACATGTGTTTTGATAGCTGAGGTACATTTCAATGGTTTCAGATTTTTTGTTGTTTCGTTATTAAAAAAACTTGCACACAATTCAAACAATCTTTTTTATTTAAAAATTCACCTTAAAATTCATTTCTGGACTTCAGCTTTTGTTTAAAAAGAAGCAAACATTTAAAAGCATTAAATGTCACTAGTCTACAATTCATCTTGTTATAAACACTTTTAGTTTGTGGACTGGGGAAACAAACCCATTACACTGATTAGGCACAGTACTATGGCCAGGGGCCAGAAATCGGCACATATGTGTACTCAGGCAACAGTTGGGCATCTCAGTGGAGGGATGGAGGGAAGGGGTGTCTTGCCTCAGCCATGAGCCTGTCTATATGCATGTTCCCTCTAAAACTGTTAGTAAGTCTCAAATCAACACATAAGAAATTGCAAGTAACTTAGTGAACAAACTACACCTGCCTTCTAAATTATGTTGCAATGGCAAGGCAGATGAATATAATTGTAGCCTCACTAAATTTGTGGTCTTGATATCCATATTACAGGACTATGTTGTAGGTGAGACAGAATTATACTATTCCTTTGGTAGTTTCAGAAATCTAAGTGGAAGCAGGTCCATGACTGTAAGATTTCACATTATTTATAGCAAGGCTTAAATATTTCATATTTCTTGAGTTGGGGCAGTGAATACAAATCACAGTACAAAATCTTTAATTCTATGAAAAAAGCAACAGGTGCTACATAGGAAAATCACTTAGATAACATTTTTTTTCTTAAAAAAAGGTAGATATAAAATATTAATTGCATAGGGATTTAAATATAAGGCCAAGAAGAATAGTAAGTTAAAAAAAATCAGAAAGGGCACTGTGGTGTCAGAAGATAAAATCTCATCCATAGAGTAATAAATCTGAATTACTGTCAAATTAAAAATCACAGTATGTTGCTATAGCTAATAGTGAATGTCAACTGTCTCATTAATTCCAAACTGGGAACCAATATTAGGATGAAGAAGAACACAGCCAAAGTTCATGGTCTAAACCTGATCGGTGTATGAGCACATCAGTGCCTGGCACGTACCTGATTAGTTATATAATCTACCTTTTGCAAACAACATTTAATACATGTTAACAAATGGAAGAGTACATCTTCACTGCACACCATCAATGATTTGCAGGCTTAATGATAGTGTTATTTAGTCCTTGAATAGTGCAAGATCCTACCCGGCAGAATCTTTACTCCATGAACCAAAACAAAACAAAACAAAAACAAACAAACAAAAAACTTTGTAATGAGCAAAATATAACAAAGTTCCACCATTAAACACTAAATGTACATGAGCTAGAGAACCAGGTCCTGACACCATTAGGATATGACATGCATTGTCCTCGGCATTTTGGAAGGCAATGAATGAGGAGTCCTACTCTACTTTGTCATCTAAACTAATCATTGCCACTTGAAGCTCCAGGGAAAGCTAACTTGCATATCTACTTCTCGTTTTAATGTCATTAGACCATAGTACTTCCAAATCTAAAAAGTACTTAGTTAACTTAGTATTGTTATATAGAGTAGTGTGAGGGAGGGGAGGAAAAAAAACAAAACAAAAACAAAACAAGAAATTTCCAAAGGAATTTTGTTAAAGTACATTGGGAATACCCAGATTGATGTTTTAAATGAAAAAGTGCATAAATACAATAATACTACAAGTGTGTTAATTATGGAACAAATGCTTCTCTGGGAGCTAAACAATACTATTTCCCCATACTATTTACACATTATGAACTGTTCAGATACCACAAAGCACCATTTACAGTCAAAATTGCTTACTTATATCTGAAAGGTCCTTTGACTTCAATTCTAGAAGGATCTACCTAGAGTAGAAGTGTTATGTCATCTTGCAACAGGATTTATCGGTACAAGGCAGTTCTCTCTTCTTCAGAAATGACAGGGCACTGCCTTCACTTCACACTCTTGGTGGGTGTTTCCGACTCTGTGGACTGCCTTCCATCTGTCCAGGCTTCCCGTGTGCTCTTCAGAGCCAACGTCTTCTGTTGGTCAACCACCACGTAATCCACTCTCTCATCAGCTACGCTGCTGCCTGAGCCACTGCTCTTTTGCTAAAATGCAAAGAAAAAAGGTCACATATGTAGTGGAGTATTTCAGTGAAATTCATTCTTACAGCAACACACACAAATGTACCAAGAATACTCTGAAGTTATATCAGGTCACCAAAAATTTTGCCAAATTCAACAATGATTTCCTCTATCTTACTTACAGAATATTTCCCTTTAACTTTAAAATTACATATAAACATTCAAACTACTGTCCACAGACAACATATGCAGAAAATAAGGACAGAAGATACCTTGCTTGTTGTAACCACACAGAGCTGAACTATCCCTATAAATTAAGGTTGATTAGAAAAAATATTTTCATTCTATTTAAGAAGCAGAGAGAAAGAGATCTTGGATCAACTGCTTCATTGGGCCATAGTTGGCAGCCAGGAACTCAACACCACATGGGTACCAGAGATTCAACTATGTGAGCCATTGTGCTGCCTGCCAGGGTGTGTAGGAGCAGGAGGCTGGATTGGGAATAGAGCCAAGACTTGGACCTGGTGCTCTGACATGGGATGTGGGGGTCCCAGGGAGCATCTTCACTGCTGTGCCAAATGCTTGTCCAGAGCCTGCCTTGCTTCAAGCCTGGAGAACATGTACTAGTGTTCACATGCAAAGATAAGGAACACTTTTTGAAAAGCTTGTAGATTGATGGTCACTTTTTTTAAAAAAAAGATTCATTTATTTTTATTGAAAGGCGGATATACAGAGAGCAAAGACGGAGAGGAAGATCTTCTTCTGATGGTTCACTCCCCAAGTGACTGCAATGGCTGGAGTTGAGCCAATCCGAAGCCAGGATTCAGGAACTTCTTTCAGGTCTCCCACGTGGGTGCAGCATCCCAAGGCTTTGGGCCGTCCTCCACTGCTTTCCCAGGCCACAAGCAGGGACTGGATGGGAAGTGGAGCTGCCAGGATTAGAACCGGGCCCATATGGGATCCCGGTGTGTGCAAGGCAAGGACTTTAAGCACTAGGGTATCGCGCCGGGCCCGATGGTCACTTTTAATTCTAAAATCCATCTAGGTACTAGATAAATGTAGTTTATCATGCATCACCAGATGTGAAGTAAGGGTTGGTAAGGGGTAAGAGAACCAGGGGCAAGGGGAGCTTCTAGATGGAGCTTGCAGATGTAAAGGTGGCATTGCTGTTCCCAGGATACATTTGAATTTGAACAATGCCATCAGGAAGAGATAAGGAAACCGAGACCCTCTTGTTAAGAGGTCCTGATTAACTGATGTTGGCTGAAGGTGGTGTCCCCTCCTGCTTTCAAGCAGAACCAAACAGAAATCCTTTTTGGAGGGAATTTAGGTCTTTAGTATTCCTGCAGAGATTTTCAGCAAAACAAATTTTCTTTATTTTGGGGGGCTTATTTATTATTTTTTGGAGGGAAAGGTAGATTTACAGAGAGAAGGAGAGACAGATTTTCTGCCTGTTGGTTCACTCCTCTAGTGTGTGGCCGTTAACAGCTGGAGGTACACAGATATGAAGCTAGGAGCCAGGATCTTCTTCTGGGTCTCCCATGTGGGTAGGGTCCCAAGGCTTTGGGCCATCCTCCACTGCTTTCCCAGACCATGAACAGGGAGCAGGAAAGGAAGTGGAGCGGCCGGGACACAAACCAATGTCCAACTTGGATCCTGGCACTTGGAGGGAGAGTTAGCCACTGAACTATTGTGCTGGGCTCCGAAAAACACATTTTCAACCAAAATGCACAGAACATGTAAGGACATAAGCCAGGAAGGGTGTAAGTCAGCAGAAATAATAAACACAGAAACTTCAAAGAATTTCAGCTGTTGGAATTAAAGCATAAACTAAATAACCTATTTAAAGGAAACAGATTAAACTAAAGGAGTAAAATAAAGAATTACTAAAATCAAGGAATCAGGAATTCATTTTAGAAATGAAAATAACTGAAATTAAAAGGTAAACATAATAACTGAGAATTAATAATACTATTCAATCAAATACCGAGATGGATAGCAAATATGGAATGGTAAAACATGGAAAGCAAAGTAAGAAGTTCTAACATGTCTAAGGGGAAAAAGAATAATGAAGTAGTATTTAAAGAGCTGACAAAAACTTTGCCAGAATGGCTAAAACGTTCATAGAATGAAAACAAAACAAACACAAATTCAGAAAAAAAATGGCAGCACAACTGGCCCCAAGCAGGATAAATAGAAATCAGTGTCCAAACACACAGTAGTAAACCAACAGAAAATCAAAAAAGATCCTAAAACCAATCAAACAGAAAGAGTTCTGTAAAGGAGCTACACTCAGGCTAAAGGCACACTTTGCAGCAGGAACAACAGATGCCTCGTAATAGAGGAACAGTATTTCTTAAGTGCTGACAGAAAATTATTGCCATACATGAACTTTAAACTCAATAAAACCACTTTTCCAAGAATGATGGCAGAATAAAGTCATGCTAGTTAAAAATTGGTAGAATTAACCACTAACAGACTTCCACTGAGATGCAATTTAGCAGAAAGGAAAACTGAGACATGAGTGATGGTCAGGAAGTTGGCAACCAAAGGAAAATACAAATGAACATTCCTTATATAGTGAAGATTTCTGCAGCTGGTGTTATGTGGCAGCAGGGTGTGGTCTGTGATGCCAAGCATATCATATGGGCACTTGTGCAAGCCCCAACAGTTTCATTTCCAATTCATTTTCCCTGCTAATAATGCACCTAGGAAAGCAGAAGGCCCCTGCACCCATTGTGGGAGACCCAGATGAACCTTCTGCTTAGTCTTGGCTCAGCTCTGGCTGTTGCAGTCATCTAGGGAGTGAACCAACCCGTGGGTGGAAGAGTCTCTCTTTCGCTCTCTCTCTCTGCCTTTCAAGTAGATAAAAATAAATCTTAGAAAAAAAAGAGAAACACCCGTAAGAGCAGTATTCCTGTACTGTTCATGAGTTTAACACCAAGATGAAATTAAAATTTTAGGAAACAGCATATAATTTGAGTGAAGTTTCAAGAGCATGAAGACACTAACTTTAGATTTTTATGATCATGTCAATAGTGATCACCAGAAAGGAAAAAAAGATATTGTCAATCTCTAGAATTTTTTGGTGTGGTTTACAAGATAGCATTAAGTAATGAGCTTTACTAAGTGAACATAATAAAATCCTCCCAAAAGAGATTATTCTTCAGGTTTAAAATCTGAGTTATCTGAATTTATAGAACAGGAGTTCACTTACCTTACGTGGTGGTGTGGATTTTCCAGAATCTAAATCAAGGTCTAGGTATTCCACTTGTTTGTCTCCTTTGGGCTTGATCATAGGACTGCTTCCTCCATCAAGACTGTTACTGCCAAAAAGACTCTGAAAGCACAATACAACAACGTCAATGGTCACCAGAGGTCCTGCTCATCTTCTCTGCCATAAATTTGCTCCAAGAGGACATAAAGAAAGGTCTGCTTAGAAAATTAAGTACTTTTAGAATTGGAGGAAATGATATTTTAAAAATCAACTGCAATTTAGAGCAAGCTTAAAAGTAGTTGCAAAAGTTAACCATGGTTCAAACTGATTAGAGCATCAAGCTGAGGCCAGCTGTGACAGTTCAGCAGTAACATTATTAAAATGACACTTGCACTCAAAGTTTTAGGTAGAATCCTTATATTACCTGCAAATAAATACATGTTCTACATTTTACTAAAAAGCTTCAAAATAAAACTAGTTTCTCAACTAAGAGCTCTGAAAAGGGACTTCACTTACAAAGCCTATTTGGTTTCAATCATCTATAATCTTATCACGCAATTTCCCCTGTCTTCTCCTAGCGTGATTCTTTCTGTCCTAAAAAGAATTGTGCAATAAGAGTTTTCTTTAAAACAAGATAAGTTAACATGAAGATAGATGACAGTAATAAACAGCAAGAAAAAATGAAGGCAGAAAAAGAAAAAGGCTAGGAGGACGCTGAAGTTGAATGCTAAGGAAAAAGGAAAGGATGACACGAACTACGCCCCTATATACATAATTAGAGGATGTACTCCTACAGTTTTCTTATTTATACAAAGTAAGTAAATTTCTCCTATTTCATGATACAAGTCATGATGGGAATCCTCCCTCCCAACTCTGCCTTATCTCCTCCCTTCTTCCTCCTAATCATTACAAGGCCTATTTTACCTTTGCTTCACAATCACAAACCTAACACTGTAGTAGGCAAAGATGTCAAGACAGCAAGTAGAGAGAAAAAAATCCTACTATTACTCATGGTACAGACAAAGGCCGTTGACAGTAATCAAATTTCAGTATGTTAATCTCACTTATAAAGATCACACTTTTTTTTGCTCTGTGTATTAGTTGTCACTAATCAGAGAAAACAGGATAACTGTCTTTTTGAGACTGGCTTATTTTACTAAGCATAATGGTTTCCAACTGAATTTGGTTGCAAATGATGAGATTCCATTTTTAATGGTTGAATAGTATTCCACTGTACATGGATCCAAGATTTTCTTTATCAAGTCATCAGTTGGTCCACATCTGGGTTGATCCCAAATCTTAGCTTTTGTGAATTGCACAGATATGAATATGGGGGTACAGATAATTCTCTTATATGTTGATTTCATTCTGGATAGATTTTCCAGGAGTGGGACAGTTGAGTTAGAAAACAGGTATCTTTTGCAAATGGTTTTTCATAATGGTTGCACTAGACTACACTTCCACCTGTTTCTTAACTGGTTTGTTTTGTTTCATTGTTGCATTTCTTGAGTTCTGCATGGGTTCTGGATATTAATCCTATACCAGTTGTGCATTTCGTAAATGTTTTCTCCCTTTCTTGGTTGACTCTTTGTTGGCAGTTTCCTTTACAGTGCAAAAGATTCTTAGTTTGTATTTCTGGATTCTTTTCTAAGAAGCCTTTCTTGACACATGTGTCTTGCAAAGTGTCACCAATATTATCCAAGCAATTTGATGGTATCAGGTCATAGGATCTATATCCCTGTTCTGTTTAGAGTTGCCTTTTGTATAAGGTGAAAGGCAGGGGTCTTGTTTCATACTTTTGCAAGTGTAGATCCAATTTCTCAGCACCATTTGCTGAGACTTTTCTTTCTCCCTGGATTGATTTCAGTTCATCTGTCAAAAATTAGTTGGTTGTAGATGTGTGGGTTCATTTCTGGAATTTCTGAGCTGTTCCATTGGTTTTAATGTGTGTTACAATTGCTCTAATGCATGTCTTGAAGTCTGGGAAGTGAACCAGCAGATGGAAGATCTCTCTCTCTCTCTCCTCTGTATGTGGGGTGGATCGCTCTTTCAAGTAAAATAAATAAATCCTTTTTTTAAAAGTACCAAATCAAGTTTATAGATCACTTAATACTACTCACTGATAACAGACTTACATAAGGAACCATTCTGACTGAAGTCTATTAAAGATGAGAATTAAATCCTTTGATAGAATTGGGTTTTACACTTTTTTTTAGTCTCCAAATAGGATTACTGTAAGGAAAACTGTCATAAAAATATCACTCACTCCCATTTCTGACACATGATACTTGCTTATTCTGACTGACACTGCCTGGTGTCCCGACACCAGCTCTCCCCTTTGCTACTTCAGGGGGGCCTTCTGTCCAGCAGAGCAAAAGCTGGACCTCCCAGCTCTGCTGGTGTCTGTGTGGCTGTACTGGCCAGGTTCTGGTGGGTGGTGTGGCCGTGGCAGTCTCCAAGAACCTTCTTCATGAGGCAGGTATGTTGCAGTCTCTGTTGCTCTTTCCCTCCTTATCCTGAATTTTGCCATGGGACTCCATGAGGTGGTGTAGGGGTGCTATCTCAGTCCATGAGCATGTGGACCATGCCTGGAGTGGTGAGTCGGTGGCAGACAGCACAGTGGGCTGGGAGGAGCCGAGTCTCTGAGGATGCTGTAGAACTGAGCCGAGTCTCTGAGGATGCTACAGTCTTGCATCGACTCTCTCTGAACTTTGCCATGAAAAAGTCAGCTTTTTCTGTTTTGTCATGTTTTTATTTTCTGTTAATGCAGAGATGAACCGAATCCTAATCTATGCACTAAAACCTGGTAATTGAACAAGTCTTAAATCTGAGAAAAAGCAAAATGATTATAGAATTAGTTGGCTGTTTTTAAACATCTGGAGTTATTTCTGGCAAGCATGTGACTTTTGGGATATCAAACACTTGATACTATTAGAAAATTCTCCTGCCTTGTGGTAAAATAGCCAATCTGAAGTAAATTATGTAGAGTTCCTTCATATGACCACTTGAGCATGAACTGCGCCTGAGAGCTGCATACTAAAATGTTTCCTATATATTTTCTTGAAAATTAAAAAAAAGCACATCATAAATATAGCAGAAAACATTTTTATATTTTTTCAACTAATTTACAGTGAATAAATGATATCACATTTAGCCTCTTTCTTGGTTTTAGATTTCTTGATACTATTTTAAAACTTGTTTTAAAGGGCTGGCATAATGATTCAGGGGTTAAATTCCTACCTTGCATCTGCCAAGATCACAAATGGGTACTGGTTCATATCCCAGCTGCTCCATTTCCCATCCAGCTCCCTATTTGTGGCTTGGGAAAGCAGTAGAGGATGGCTCAAAGCCTTGGACCCTGTACCTGCATGGGAGACTCAGAAGAAGCTCCTGGCTCCTGGCTTTGGATTGGCTTGGTTCTGATTGTTGTGGCTACTTGGGGAGTGAACCAGCAGACAGACGATCTTTCTGTCTCTCCTTCTCTATGTAAATCTATGTTTCCAATAAAAATAAATAAGTTAAAAATAACTTAAGTAGTTATTTTAGTTTTAATGGTCCCATTTGAAGACCATCATGCCTAATGAAATAAACCAGTCCCAAAAGGACAAATGTCGTATGTTCTCTCTGATACAAGACAACCTTAAGATAGATAGCCTTAAAATAGACAAGATAGGTAATCAAGTATACACATATAGTCTCACAGATGAATGACACAGCAGAAATTAGCATACAAGGAAGTAAAGTTGTGTTGCAGTATACATCTCTACTCCTGAATAAAAGGATTTCCATTTTGAAACTTGTAAATATATTCATACATAACCTACAAATATACCCTACCATGTCATGACAGCAGAAAGTAGCCTTCTAATTGTTACTAAGGGACTACTATGATAATCCAGGGAACAATGGAGGGGACGGAAGGGGAAGAGAAGGGAAGAATCCTTAACCCTACAAAATGCTGTCCTTACAATTCTTTTCCTTAGACATATCAAGAAGGATGTGAGGAAAGTCTTATGAATGAGAAGAAAAAAGAGAAGACTGAAAAGGCTACTCAAGACAGAGGTCCAGAGGAAGCTGTTACATACTTGGTCTTCACTGGACAGGTTTGGGTTCATAGGAACGTAATTCTCTTCACTGTCATGTGAGTCACTGCTTGATGTTGTGCTGTGCACTGAATCCGGTCGTGGAGACAGGGGGAACCTAGAGGAGCTAATGGTAGAGAATATTATTGTAACACAAAACCTTGTTTAAAATGTATGAAATCACATCCAAAATAAAAGTGACAGTATGTATTCTTTGAGAAATACTTATTTGTATTTATAATTTTGACACTATTTATTTATATACACTCAAGCACACAACACCAACAGCTGTATATTCTGGACAAATTATTATGTGCAAAACAAAGAAAAAAAAGGATGTAAAAAAATATAATGCTGGTGTTGTGGCACTGTAGTAAGCTCCTACTGGAAACACCAGCATCTTGTATCAGAGCACTAGCTTGAGTCCTGGTTGCTTTGCTTCCAGTCAAGCTCCCTGCAATGCACCTGAGAGAGCAGCAGATGGCGCCTGAAGCAGATCCGGAGAGAGTACTGGGCTCCTGGATTTTTGCCTGGCCAGCCCTGGCCCAGTCCTGGCCAGCCCCAGCTGTGGATCTGAGACATGAACTAGAGAGTAGAAGATCCCCCTTTCTCTATTCAAATCTCCTCCCCTCCCCTTCCCTCTCTTTCCCACTCCCTCTCTGTAATTCTGCCTTTCAAATAAATGCAACTAAAAAAACACATCACCAGTGACCTAGCCACTAAGTAGGAAGTCATAAATATAAAAAGGAATATTTAAAAATTCCTATTTTGAAAAAATGCTTACTTAATTGAAAGGGCAAGAATGTGAGAGAGATTTTTTACTAGCCCCTGGTTTACTTTCCCAATGCCCACAACAATCTGGGCTGGGTCAGGCTGAGGCCAATGGCCTGGAACTCCATCCAGGTCTCCCAGGTAGGTTGCAGGCATTCCAGTTCTTAAGCAACTACCTGTTGTCTCCCAGGATGTGTGTTAGCTGGAAGAGGACTAGAAGCAGAGAAGCCAGGGCAGAAACCAGGTGTTAGGTATAGGCTGTGAGGTTCTAAGCTTAACTTCCTATGCCACCACTCCCACTCCAAGAATTCTTATATACATATATATATATACACATATACATATAAGAAATATATAACAATGCATATAAAACACAAACACATATTCAACATATTCCTCTAACTTCACAAATTATTCTCACCACCCTATATATATATTTAAATAAATCCCAATTACATGATTCTCAAACAAAAAACTTTCAGATCATGGGGCCCGGCATGATAGTGTAGTGGTTAAAGTCCTCACCTTGAATGCGTCAGGATCCCCTATGTGTGCCGGTTCTAATCCCAGCAGCTGTGCTTCCCATCCAGCTCCCTCCATGTGGCCTGGGAAAGAAGTCAAGGATGGCCCAAAGCCTTGGGACCCTGCACCCGCATGGGAGCCCTGGAAGAGCTCATAGCTTTGGATTGGCTCAGCTCCAGCCATTGCGGCCACTTGGGAAGTGAATCATCGGTTGGAAGATCTTCTTCTCTGTCTCTCCTCTGCTCTGTATATCTGCCTTTCCAATAAAAATAAATACATTTTTAAAAATTTATATTTATTGGAAAGTCAGTCTGTGTCGAGAGGAGGAGAGACAGTGAGGAAGAGCTTTCGTCCAATGGTTCACTCCCCAAGTGACCGCAACGGCTGGTGCTGTGCCAATCCTAAGCCAGCAGCCAGGAACTTCCTCCAAATCTCCCACACAGGTTAAGGGTCCCAAGGCATTGGATTGTCTTCGACTGCTTTCCCAGGCCACAAGCAGGGAGCTGGATAGGAAGTGGAGCTGCCAAGATTAGAACTGGCGCCCATATGGGATTCCGGCGTGTTCAAGGTGAGGGCTTTAGCTGCTAAGCCACCGTGCCAGGCCCAATAAAAACAAATAAATCTTCTAAAAAAATTTCCAGATCAGTTGTTCTCAGGAAGTTTTAGTTTCACAAACACCTCACATTTCAAAAAAAAATTGAGAACCCCAAGGAACTTCTATTTACATAAGATAAGTATCTATTGATATTTATCATAACAGAAACGAAAGTAGAACCGTTTTAAACACAAAGGTCTACACATACATATTCTGTTAGCTGTCACAATGGAATCCCATGGAGCCTATGGAAAATTGCATGATAGGTTCAGGAAAAGTGGAGTGGAAAAATCAACACTGAATGAAAATAGACTTAGCAACCCCAAAAAGGTGGCACTTCCCAGGCCATTCTTTAAAGTTTGTTAATTTTTGATATTTTCCACAATAACAACAATTCCAGACAGTGGTTGTTCCAATAAGGTGTTCTGAACAGAGGACTCACTCTCGAGCGAAACTCCTGGTGATGGGAGATCTAACTGGGGCCTGCAACTCCTCCCACTCCGGCAAAGGTTTTATTTCTAGAGGTGCTGGCTTGGCTGAAAAGACAAATAGAAGAGATTTTTAGTTTATAGAGCTTTGGAAAACATAACAAGAACCTCCATTTATATCTCAGACTATATTAAGTAGCCAGAGTACATCTATGGTCAGCTTGTTTCACACAAGAAATGAGGTTTAGGGCTATTAAGTGATTTTTCCAAGGATCCAAATAACTAGTAACAAAAACTAAATGATTCATAATAATTATTAATAGCTCAAGGTCTCACATTCTAATCTGACATGTTGTTCCTTAAGTAAAACTTTATGAACATAAACTGAGAACAAGAAAGCACAATAGGACTCAATTCCTCCATTGGTGCTCAATTAACACATCTCTTTCTTTCATGAACTCTTCTCACTAATTTTAAATTGCCAATATGAAAATTTAATCAACTATATAAAGAGTTCCTATTCTTCAATACTGAAGTATCAGTTAGAAGCTACAGACAAAAATGATGCACAGAAAGCTTGAAAAACAAATCTTCGTTAAAAAGAAGGTACAACTTTGCTGAGGTCCAGAGAAATAATCAAACCATTTGTGACAACTCATGTATAATCTGGAAACAGCAAACCCATAATTACTGTATGTTTAGACTCAAAATCTGCTCTGGGAAAAGGCCATAGTTTCTAAAACATTACCTGATAATTTCAGCTTAATTTAGTCAACAAATAAATAGCAATTAAATAAAATTCAGCACATGCTAGCATTTGTTCTAGTTTTATTTATAAGTGGTCTTTATCTCACTGTGACAGTAGATAATTATCATGTTAGTATGTGTAATAGGGTTCTTAGCCCTTTGCTAAGATTGACAGGATTGTTTAGAGTAAGGAAAATAACTAACATAATCTTATTTGTTAATATTAATTATGCTTTAGAAGAATATTTAGGCATTATTTAATCCTGCCACTTTTAAAAAAATTTATTTTCTCAGTTTGCAACATAGTTTCTGTTCTTATGTGTGTAGTTTTAACTAACAGTTGTAATTATGATCAAACCATAAAATAGGTAGTCATATTCAAGAACCACACAGTTTCAGTGAGGCTCATGAGTAAGCATTTCCATTAAATATAGTGATACCAAATTGATTAAATTTGAGTTAAAATGATTTTTGTCTATATTCTTAAAATAGACATGTAGAGAAAATACTGATCAAAGGTATGTCTTTAATGTACTTTTTTGATACTCTAAAGCTAATACATAGCAATATAGCTGTTCACCTCTAAGTAATGGGATAATTAATGCAAGAAATGATCTTTTATTGTTTCAGGACAGAATATACACACATAAAGACAGGACACAAAAGCAGTTTACAAGCTTAAAGAAAACACTATGTTGTCCAAAAAATTAAAAGAACAACACTGAAGGATACGTGAGTATCACATATTATTGATATATAACATGCTGCTGTTAATGGCATATTACAGGAAGCATTCATTTTACAAACAACATGCTGGGGAGCTTTATTCATAACAGCAGTAGTATTTAAGGCTCTTTTTCACTATTTACTTTTTTAAATGAACATTGCAAGATAAATTCCCAACACCCCATACGGCATGCGGTGCTGAAGTACATACCCTTTCTTCTTGTAGCAAAGTCACCTATGGTTTGTGAATCAGTTCGCTCTAAACCATGGGGTTTGGGTCTTAAAATTTTAGGGCTTTGACCTAATTGGTAAAAAGAAGACTCTCTTAATATGATGTTATTTTTAAATTGGAAAATGGATTCTGTAAAAAAAGTTAACAAAGCCCCATACAGAAACGTTACATCTCAGAAGCATAAATATCAGTTTGTGGAACATATTCCAGTCTTGCTCTATTTCTTGCATGCTAGGCACCATGCGAAGGGGGAAGCTGCATGCACCAGTGTAATAAGCGCAGGGTTATGAATGGCGTCACCAGCCTGGTTAGTAGTTAACTTCGAGGAAAGGGAGGAAAAGCATGGGCCATGTTAGGTTTTCTTCTAACATGTCTTATAACATGGGATAAAAGAAGAAATTATAGAATCCCTCAGATCTCAGCGACATCTTTTCATTGAAGTTTGGTGTCTAAGAAAATGCAAATTTTTCTTATGTTTCTGATTATGCATTTCTGATAATATGACTTTTCTAAGTTGCTGTAGATAACTTTAAAACTCCAGCTGACTACTTCTATGCCTCCAGACTCCGCTCTTGTAAAGCAGGCAGGGCCTCCACTGTATTTCTCAAACCCAAAGCCAGCACCATTATTTATTTGTTTCTCCTCAATGCTCAGTGGATGCTCACAATTAGATTGCGGTACTGTCCACCTTTAATCTAGATATATTTAGCTGCCATTCCTTTAATCTCTCTCACACACAAGCAAGCCCCATGGAAAGCACTGAGTTGATATTCCGTTGTTGTAATCGAACTTTCCCTATTAGTTAATCAACGAAGAAGCAATATCATCTGAAGGGGTAATGTAATCCACCCTAGTCACAGTAGTACCAGATAGTCCTAATTACTGGAATTTAAAAGTTGGCATGTTAATAAAATTTCAATAAGGTATCTAGCTCCTGTCTCCTTACAATGTTATTCTCCATGTTATAAAAGATAAAAATTCTCAAATTAACCAATTTTGTATGTTAGATAAGTAATACAATGTGTTTATTTAAAAATGAGGTGATCCTGGGGCTGGCCAGCATTTTGGTGTACTGGGTAAAGTCTCCATCTAAAATGCTGGCATCCCAAATGGGTCTAGTTGATGTCCTGGCTGCTTCACTTCTGATTCTGCTTTCTGTTAATGATCTGGGATAGCTACCTGGGTGAGACAACTGGATGAAACACATGGTTTTGGTGTGGTCCAGCCATAGCCATTGCAGACATATGGGAAGTGAAACAACAGATAGAGGCTCTTGCTTTGTTCCTTCCTCTCGCTCTGTATTTCTGACTTTCAAATAAATGTTTAAGAAACAACAACAAAAAAATGAGGTAGGCCTAGCTTAAAATGGCAACATTGAAATTTGAGGCAACAGTCATTTACTAACCTCAATGATATCCAGGATCCACAACGGCAGAGCATTTAATTAGAAGTCAGAAAAAGTCAACTTTTTAAAGTCTCCTAAACAGTGCACTACTTTTCAAAAAAAAATTTTAGGACCTCACAAATCAAATCCAGTTTCTTTATTTTATGGATAAGATATTCCCAGAGGATATAAAGAAGGGGAATGCTCAGCTTACAAGTTTAATCAGAGGCAAATTAACGCTTCCTCTCTGACCTACCGGTGTGGTGCTTTCTATTTTGTACAGCATGTCTGTGCCTGCTGGGATTTGGGGACTCTAAGGACGTCTGGAGTTCAGTTGGAACTCCTCTGGGATCACACAAAATCACAAAGAAGAAAACTCAGCCAGAAGAAAAGAAATGTGTGTTTACTGCTTCACTCGAGTGTGAAGCTGACAGTGCTGTGACTAGATGGAGGTACTTGAAGCACTACATCCACGTGAAGCCACAGGTGGCTGATACATGCATGATGTGATGTTTAATAATTATGAAAAGCTTTAATAACCACTTTTGGCTTGTGGGTGATTGCCCAATTTGTCCTTGCCCTCCTCCTTTTTTTTACTTAGTTTCTTTCTTTCTTTATTTCTTTTTTTAAAGGAAGTCATATACACAAAGAGAAGGAGACACAGAGATCTTCTATCTGCTGGTTGACTCCCCAAGTGGCCGTAACAGCTGGAGCTGAGCCTATCCAAAGCCAGGAGCCAGGAGCTTCTTCTAGGTCTCCCACATACCCCTCTTTTCTTGAAAGACCCATTTTCACTAACTCTGCAACTTCTTCCTGATTTCTTTTACTGTGGTTCTCTCTCAGTGGTTATTCTGCATTTCTTTCTTCTTCTTCTTTTTTTTAAAGATTTATTTATTTTTATTGGAATGTCAGATATAGAGAGAGGAGGAGAGACAAAGTTCTTCCATCCAATGATTCACTCTCCAAGTGGCTGCAATGGCCGGAGCTGAACTAATCCTAAGCCAGGAGCCAGGAACTTCCTCTGGGTCTTACATGCAGGTGCAGGGTCCCAAGGCCTTGGGCCATCCTCAGCTGCCTTCCCAGGCCACAAGCAGGGAGCTGGATGGGAAGCGGGGCTGCCGGGATTAGAACTAGTGGCCACATTGGATCCCGGCATGTTCAAGGTGAGGACATCAGCTGCTAGGCCAATGCACTGGGCCCTATTCTGCATTTCTTGACAGCGTGAGTATCTGATCCGAGTTTTTGGTTCAATACCCAAGGCTTGACTACCTCATTTGCCTAGTTATGATTTCTCACTTTTTTCTTTAGTCGCCCACTTCCCATCATTTGTAATAAGTCACTTCCAAATGCCTCTTCTAAAATTGAAACCAAATGGATAATTTCTTCTCTAAACCAACACCACTTTCACCATCCCAGGCTTAGTAACGGTACCATTTGCTGGGTGTCTAGGAGTACAGCCTCAGTTACAGGGTAGTGGTCATTTCTCTCACCTGCATCTATATTTGGTCTTGAAACACTAACGAGTTGCCAAGATGACAACAAAAAGTGCTTTTCAAGTGAGTACCACTGAAATGGAGAACGCAGATAACCAAGGTCAGAAACAAGTTACTCAAGCCCGGATAAATGCTGGCTTCATGGCAACTTTCCAAAATGAAAGGAAAGGCTTAAGAAAAATACTACAAAGGCTCTTCTGAAACTTATGCTTAGAAGAAGAAGAACAAGGCCAAGACAAATCTACTGCTTGGGAAGGAAGAAAAATAGTCTTAATAGAAAAAAAGAGAGAGTGAGAAAGAAACTCAACTCCTATCTTGCTTTATTCTTCTTCAGCTAGGTGAATGCTATTCAAATTGAAAAGCAACAACAGAATGCATTAAAGAGCCTGCTATGGGAGAAAAATTCTAATGCACGGCCCAGCTTCTTTCAAGTTCTACTCAAAAAATTCCATTCCAAGACAACAAATGGTTCCACAGGACACAGAATTCCTGTCATGATCTGGAGAAGTCCTGCAGGACATGGAAGGTGCTGCAAGGAAAAGCTTCTTGTGGTTTGGGTGTTGTGTTCTTTGAACCACAGCTTTTCTCTGGAAAGATTATTCTCTATTTCAGCTCTTTTACCATCAATTTCTGTCACAGCTTTACCGATCCATCTCTGTGAATTGCTATGCAACACTCAAATGGTTTCTATTTAACACATTGAGAGTGCCCTGAGAAAAATCACTACACCGAATCATTAATAATGAACATTTACTGAGGACTCCTTGGTCCTAGGCATGCTAAAAACCTCATGTAGGGTCTGGTACAATAGCCTAATGCTTATAGTCTTCACCTTGCGCACACCGGGATCCCATATGGTTGCTGGTTCTAATCCTGGAGGCCCTGCTTCTCATCCAGCTCCCTACTTGTGGCCTGGGAGGGCAGCTGAGGATGGCACAAAGCCTTGGGACCCTGCAGTTGCATGGGAGACATGGAGGAAGAAGTTCCTGGCTCCTGGCTTTGGACTGACTCAGTTCTGGCCACTGTGGCCACTTGGAGAGTGAACCATCAGACAGAAGATCTTCCTCTCTTTTCCTCCTCTCTGTATATCTGCCTTTCCAATAAAAATAAATAGATTTTTTTTTTTTGTAAAAACTCATGTAATACTTACAACAACCTTGTAGGGAAGGTACAATTAGAACACCTTTGATAATTTACAGCATTTGTTAGAGGGAGAGGTTGAGTAATTTGCTCAGAGTTACAGAGCTGGTGACAAACAGGTAGAGCCAGGATTTGAATCTTTTGGATCAAGAATCTAGATAAAGAATTCTTTCTGTCATTCCTATATCCTATTCTAGTCTGATAATCCTCACTATAGGAAAGGATCTGAATTGTTTTGTGTTTATGTACAAAGTGAGTCTTCCTAAGTAAATTCTAAGTACTTCAAACATTAAACAGATATTTAAAATCATTACATTTCTCTGGAAGCTTTAGTTTCAGGACCAGTAATTTCTTGTCAGTCATTACAGAGCTAAGTCCATACCCCTAATGCCTTTGGTGTAGATCTTATCATGCCTCCATCTCTCTTTCTCAGCTTACAGTTGCTCTGAGAAGACTGACTTTTTTAAAGGAGTGACACAGACTCTAATTCTAAAGACAGAAATTGCACCTAAACCTCTCATGGTTGACATCTTAATTCTCAGAGTTTTTGTAGACATTTACAGAACCTGATCAGAGAAACTAACACCCAGTCTTCCCTTGGACCCAGACAGTCTGGAATCCACCTGTGCCATTCCAAAGGAAGCATACTGGCCAATCAAAAGAAGGCCACATGCACTGTGGACCAGTCAGAAGCCCACATGTGAACTGATCACACCCAGCTATGAATGACAATATCCAGTGCCTTGGCTCCCCAGGGGGCAGTTCAGGAATTAAGCATCAGCTGTCTGACTCCTTGCTTGTGATTTGCCATAGCCACCTGCTTTTTTCCCCATTACTCTGGTTTCAATGATGAGTTTGCTCTGCATTGGTCAAGCAGACCAACTCCTCCAACCCATCTTTGGAGTGTCCAGTAAATACAGACAAATGTAAAATGGAAGCGAACATGATGCTGCAAACTACACAGAGCATTTTCTATTTTAGACAGAGTTACAGAGAAGAGGAGAGAGACTCTTCCATCCCCAATGGCTGCAACACCTGGAGTCTGGGTCAGG